GAGAGAGAGAGAGAAACAAAAACACAGCCCCTCAGGGAGTGAGCCATCAGAGCATAGATTATTTCAGTGCAGGCCTGCAGAAATTAGTAACTCCGCTAAATGACGAGAGCAACTACCCCGTCTGACACCGGGCTCGCAAAGTCCATGCAAGATACATCCCATCCAGGGCTTATAAGCTACCCTAAAGCCCTACACTGTTACATGCCATGCCCTTTATACTCGAAGCCTGCAACCGAGCCCGATGGCCTCAAAGCTGAACTCCCAAAAACCACTTAAACCCTTTCAAGTCCCGACCCTGCGATTTTGTACCCTACCCATAGGCCCCTAAGTAGTTGCTTTTTGTTGTATATATTTAGAATCCTATAAGGTAATCCCAAAAAGGGACTACATAGGGGCCTATGGGTAAACCCTAAACCCTAAACTCTGACATGAGTCCCACTGCTCCAGTCTTCAACCGACCCGTGCGGCCGGAACCTGTAAACGAAGTGGAGGAGCGGCTGCAGGCTCCCTGGCCTGGTTTAGGGGTTTAGGCTTAAGGTTTTAGAAACCCTAAACCCTAAACCCTAAACCCTTGTTTAGGGGTTTAGGGTTTAGGGTTTAGGACCACAGGCTTTCGTATGTATCTTCTGGGATCTCTACTTGGGTCAGCTGAGAGTTTTTCTTTGGGGTTAGGGTTTCTATTAGTATTTATATAGGTTTTGGTTGCTAGGGTTTATAAAGGTTTCTAGGGTTTATAGGGGTTTTTAAGGATTAGAGTAGGGTCCTTTTCATCGGACTGAGCCACTGGTGGCTCTCACGGCCTCCTTGGACCCCTCTCCATCTTGTGCAGAGACGACCCGGTGAGCCTGTGAGTCTCGGGGTTTAGGGTTTTAGGGTTTAGGGTTTTAGGGTTTAGAGTTGGGTTTTAGGGTTTAGGGTTTCGAGTTTTAGGGCTTAGGGTTTGGGGCTTTAGGGTGTAGGATTTAGGGTTTTAGGGTTTAGGGTTTAGTTTTTTTTTTCTGGTTTCGGTGAAGTTCGAGTCGGAGAGGGCCAGTTTTGTTGCAGGCTCGCGCAGCTGCGGTAGCCGATTTCAGCGCAAAAGCGCATGGTAAGCCCCGTGGATTCAACCCTAAACCCCTAAAAACCCCTCAAACCCCTAAACCCCGAAGACCCTGAACCCCTACACTCCTAAACTCCTAAAACCCTAAAACCCTTAACCCTAAACCCCTAAACCCAAAACCCCCTAAACCCCTGAGCCTCAACTCCCTCCCCGTGAGGTCAACGAGCTCGACATTCGAATCTCCTTCGGCTCGCGACAGCACTCGCTGAGCCTCATCAGGTCACCTGCTGCAAGGAGTTCTTTCAACTGCTTCAGGGCGTTTAGGGTTTGCCCATATAGGCCCCTATGTAGTTCCTTTTTGGGATTACCGGGTTTAGGGTTTAGGGGTTTAGGGGTTTAGGGTTAAGGGTTTAGGGTTTACCCATAGGCCCCCTAAGTGGTTCCTTTTTGGGGATTACCTTATAGGACTCTAAATATAAGCCATAAAAAGGAACTACTTAGTACTTAGGGGCCTATGGGCAAGGACACAGAGAGCCCAATTCCTTTTAAAAGTGAATATATACCTTAAATTATAGGGTTCCTTAAAAGGGTCTCTATAAGGGCTCTATAAGGGAATTAAGGAATTATACACCTTAATTATAGGGGCCTTAATATTCTATTCCTGAATTCCTTCCTTACGCCAGGCGTAGTCATTTTGAGTTTCAGGGCGGGCTTTGTTGCGCAGGACAGCCTCTAGAGAGTTTATCAGTTTAGCCCCAACACCCTAAACCCTAAACCCCATTTTGGGGCTTGAGGTTTTGTCGTGAGGGCTTGGTCAGCACTTCACTTCGAGCTGTCTTCGTGTCTCCGGTGTACGGCCTTGTCGGTTTAGGCTTTAGGGTTTAGGGTTTAGGGTTTTAGGGTCTAGGGTTTAGGGTCATCTATTGCAGACCCGACATAGGGACTTTAACGACATGAGGCCTGTTATACGCCCGGTATCATGCAAGCGGCAACACAAATCCGCTATGCCAAATCTCATGCATATGCTGGACCCGGTTGCAAGGGTGTTGCTCGAGCGCATGAACCTGCTGCTGAAACGGGACGGGCATCTGGGCAGCATTCATCGGCCACTGAAGGTTTCCCTCATGAATTGGAGGTTGTGTGCTGTTTTGTCGGGCTTTGAACTTGGATTGCTTTTGTTCTGCGTGTGCGCCCGCGCGCCTCTCTGTGTGTGTGTGTGTGAGTGTGTGTGTGTGTGTCCGTAGGGAAGGGCGCAGGGGGAGGGTGCCGTAGTTTTCGCGTTGCTCTGAGCTCAACAGTGCCTATCCACATGCACGCAGGTTCTTGGGCCCAAGACTCGACTTCCGTAGGCGTTTGCAGTCACCCTCCTTTGTGAGTTCGGCCCTTTTTCTGCCGCATGCAGAGCTCTGAAGAAGTGCAGAGGAAGCTGATGTATCACAGCTTACTGCCGAGCCTGGAGGCTCCCGAGATCACCGAGGAGGCACGGCAGCTCTACTTGGAGCAATGTGGTGGGACGGACCTTTCTCTTGCTGCCCTTCGTGGGGATCAAGAGCTCGTGGAAGTGTTGTTGGCTTCCGGTGCTAGCGATTCCCCCGATTTTTCGGGAGTCACGGCCCTCTACCACGCCGCCATGCGCGGCTTCGCAGAGATCGTACGGAGCCTGGCAGCCGCCCGCTCCGACCTCGAGGCCCGTTGCTCCGACGGCTCCACGGCCCTGATCCAAGCGGCCTACGTCGCCAGCCAAACCGAGGGCCCACGCCGCGCCGCCTGCGCGGTCGTGGTGTCGGTCCTAAGAGAGCTGGGTGCGGACCTTGCTCCCAAAGACAGCTGGGGCAAGACTGCCGATTATTACTGCCGGGGTGTGCCGGAACTTGAGATCGCCATCAAGTCGGAAGTTCTCGTCACCTGCCCCTACCAAGATTGCCATCGAGTGTACCGAGTCAGGCGTGCAGACTACCGATGCCGCGTCGTGAGATGCGGCTGCGTGATCTTCAGGGGCCGCGAGTATCAGCTTCCCAAGCACGGGAGCCGTGCAGACGTCCGACAATGGCTGCAGGAAACTTCGTAGCTGAGTAGGTAACCTTTAACCCTTTTTGGGCTTATATAATCCTAGCCTAAACCCTAAACCCTCCTTCTTGGGCTTACTAGAATCCTACCAGAATTGAAAGGTTAACTTTTTTTGGGCTATAGGGTGCTCAGCCCCCTAAGGAAAGTTGGGGTTGGGATGGCTGGCCGGGAGAGGTTTTGGGCTGTGGACGGCCCTTTCGATTCCCAGAGGAGAGTGGCTTGGGCTCCTTCCTTAAGGGATTTTTATTTATATGGTACCATTTAAAATCGGGATCTCTCGTAAATACTATGCTCCTTCCTTAAGGGATTTTTATTTATACGGTACCATTTCTAATCGGGATCTATCGGAAATAATATAGTCCCCTACCAAGAACCTCATTCCGTAAGGGATTTTATTTAAGGTACCATTTATCGGGATCTATCGTAAATAATATGGTTTCCTTATTATTAGGGGATTTTATTTATAAGGTGCCATTTATAATCGGGATCTATCCTACATAATATGGTTTCCTTGTTATATGGTATAGCTTAAACTAAATCCCCGAACAAGAGCCCAGGTGGCTTGGGCTCCTTCCTTACCTGGTCCGAAGAGCTGACCGGTGCGGAGCATCCCTCCGCAGTGGATGCCGACGGCGACTACTCCATTGCAACATCAAACCTTTGAGGAGCCGAGGGTGTTTTTTAGAGGCTATACCCATAGTATGATATACCCAAAAACCCTATGCTCATTAATTACCCACAGGCCCCTAAGTAGTTCCTTTTTGGGATAACCTTTTTTGACTATAGGATTCTAAGAAAAAACCATAAAAAAGGAACGACTTCGGGGCGCATGGGTAGAGGCTATATGGCGGTCATGACTGAGACCGGGCCGATCCCGGCACTGCGGGGCACCTGGTGAAGCCCTGCGCACGGTTGCCTGAAATGCTGGGTATAGGACGCGCGAAACTGAAGCTAGGCCGCATCATGGCGCCGCGGGAGGCAAGCAAGAAATGAAATCCGATTGAACTCCTGCTGGTTTCTTTCCTGGACTACCTGCTCGTGAGAGCCCCAAGACCGTACCCCGGCGAAAGAACAGGAAAAAGGCGTATCTGGCCCCATGGCATGAATCTGCATGAAGGATATTGAAGATGTCATCTGAACAGACGTTCTCCATAAGAGGGTCCTGAAGTGGCTCAGATGCCCTTCTTCCAGAAGGATCATCTGCTTTTTTTTAAGAGTTCGTGCCCCTGATCCCTGTTCGCGCCCCTTTAAACCCGAAACCCTAAACCCTAAACCTTATAAACCCTAACCCTAAACCCTAAACCCTAAAACCCTAAAACCCTAAACCCTAAAACCTGGGCCCTCCGAGCTCGAATCGGTGAGCTCCTTGCAGTGCAACCGTGGACCCTGAACCTCCCCCATTCGCGCAGACCCGCTCTGTAGCCTTTCCCCATAGGCCCCTAAGTAGTTCCTTTTTGGGAATACCTTATAGGATTCTAAGTATAAGCCCACAGAAAGAACTTAGGGGCCCATGGGTATCCCCCCAAAAACGTAAGTTTCTCCAACCCCACAAGCTTCGACCGCCAGGTCTCGCTAGATTTGGTCGGAAGGGCTCAGACCTGGCCCCTTAAGAACCTCCCTTCTTAGGGCTCCTTTATTATGATTTCCGTATGTAAGGTCCTTAAAAGGGTAGGTTCTTTGGGGTCTAGGTAAGCATTCTGGTGGGGAGTCGGGTCACCGAGGCTGCAGCGGTTTAGTTGCACACCACTTTTTTTTGTGATGCACTGCAAGGTCTCGGTCTTTTTTTTGGGGGGGGTATTTCGGAGCTACCCATAGGCCCCTAAGTAGCTCCCTTTTGGGAGTACC